TACAATTGCTCCCAAATATATATATATATTTATATATATATACATACACTAAACATTACACATATTAAACAGATTGTCTCTTCATTGCATCTATTTTCCATATATTCATCAAGACCATTTTCTAATATGTGTTAAGAAGAGAACTCTTTTTTCAAACAAACTCCAGACCCTCATTGCCAGTCACTGGGTTAATGGGGCGGCCCCGTGGCCATTGTCCAGTCACTCTGCATGCTCTGTCATAAGGACAGGTGACTTAGTTCTGTGTTCATGTGGCCCCCAACTCCTCAGCCACATAAGTCTCTTAGAACATTGTGGAACCTAAATTGCATTTCTATTTCTCATTTCCTTCAAATAATGATCAACACTATTTCAGTGAGCAAACTGTGAAAGGGGCTTTGGAAAGATTAGGGAGGGGTAGGTTAGACTGGGGAAAGCAACATCTGCTTGGGGTTACCGTGCCTGTCTCCCTCACATTGGTGGTGTCCCCACACCTGTTCGTGTGAACTGCCCTTGACCAGGGCTGCTTGGCATAGTTGGCACCGCAGCAGTCCTCAACTGGCTTCCCAAAAGCTGCCCAGACCTCTGGCTCTCCCAGCGTTCTGCTGGCTCAGGAGCAGGCAGTTGGGGACCCTCAGCAGGAGTCCGTGAAAGGCCCTCCCTCGCTCGCCAGGCTCTCATGCTGACCTTGCAAATTCAGCCGCTGCTTTGAGCCCAAAATGGCAATACTGGTTTTGTGTCAGATACTTGTTCCAAGTTTGTTGATGAGGCTTATTGAACCTCAAAAACAGGTGCCATCTGCCTGAATGTTGACATGCCAGTAGATGTGAATCCTCTTCATTTTTCCTTTTCCCTTCCCCCCGGACAGTGTTATAGTGAACATTTAGCATTTTGTTTTTGGTTTTTAGTTGAGCAACTGACATTACAGAAAGTGCCTTAGACACTACAGTACTAAGACAATGTTAAATATATTATTTGCCCCTATAGCAATTTAATGTATTATGTTTTGACTGTGCTCCATATCATGTACCTCTCTAGTCAAAGTGGTATTATAAACATTCAGTGACAATGAATCAGTGTTAATTATAAATCCTAGATCTTCTGATACATGCTTGAAAACACAAACCTTTTGGGTTAAAAGCTTTAACATCTGTCAGGAAGAATTTGTCATGTGGGTTTGGAATCTTTGGTTTCCCCTCCCCCCCCTTATGAATTGTACTGGCTGTTGACCACCAAACACCTACCTGACTGCAAATATCTTTTCTTGTATTCCCATATTTCTAGACAATGATTTTTGTAAGACAATAAATTTATTCATTATAGATATTTACGCCTGTTTTGTTTACTTGGAGGAAAGCACCCGTTGAGAATAAACAGACCTCAATAAAAAAAAAAGATCATGTGAACATGGAATATTTTTTTCACCGTGTTCTTGATTTTTCCGTCATCTGATTAATGATTGAGAGCTAGTCTTCAAGCTCACTTTTTCCTGTAAATTATACTCCCAGAAACTGTTGGGTGATGAGCTAATAATTCTCTGATCAGTGAGCCTGGAGATGCACTGAGAAGGAAAAGGCTGACTGGGATCCAATTGCTGACGGAGCATATACAATCACAGAAAATAGGGCCTCTAGGAGAATTCAGGTCTCCAATGAAGTTTCTTACAGAGTTTGAGTATTTGAAAAGTCCAAGTATCAGAGATTTGGGGGCAGGATGCACATCAAAAATGCACTGGAATGATTCAGCGGCGACTTCTCTAGCCAATGAGGATAAGCACCCACAAAAGGGCGGGGTGTTGGGGGTCGGCTAGGGGTTACAAACCTACAAAATCTTATTTTAAAGATGCTGATTTTTTATTTTTAATTCCATATTCTTAGTCTAGTTCTGGTAGTACCAATTGTCAGACTTCTTAGAAGTGGCTGGGATGTAGAAAATGGGCAGATGTTCCCCCTTTCTCCTGTGTTTGTAGGGGATGAGGCAGCAGTTGTTTCACAAGTGTGTCCTTCACCCATCCAGTCATATTTGTGAAATTCAGAGGTCTTTTCTCAAAAAACTTCCCTGCTGCCTGGTTCAAGCCACGTTAATGCCATACTGCTGCTCAGGATCTACACATGAACCAAGAACCTTTCTTCACTAGACTCACGACATCTTCATTGTCTTTAAAAAAAAAAGTTCATACAAGGAAGATGGTTAAGAGGGTCTGTGAATGTGACAAACTCCATGCAGCTGGCCAGCTTCACCCAGCAGGAGTCTGATGAGTTCAGGCAAACCTTGGGAAAACCTTGAGCTTTCAGAGGTGAAACAGGAGATGAGGCTCTGATGGAGACTTTGAATCAGAGATGGAATGTTAAATGCCTTAAACACAACATGGGAACTTTTTTATTTTTTTTATGGGAACTTTTTTTAATGCAGAAGTTTCAGAGAATTATTCTAAACGGTTGCTCAGCATAGGTCTTCAAGTTAATTTGAGTAGTCAAAGAAAATCATGACTCAAATAGTCAAGTTGCAGTCTTTTCATTTATTTGTAATAAGGATGTAGTTAGTATATTCATATCTATGATCTCAATGGTCATTTCTACATTAATATGTGCGCATTTATACAGCCCTCTGGTATCCTGTGATATCCTAAGTCTTCTTGACCCTTCCCCCACCATCAGACATGTTATTGCTGACAGTGACTTTATTCATTCTTACTATCGAAGCTTTTTTCCTAAAAGGTCTTTTTAATAGCTTTTATTAAATTAAGACTGACATAATAATTTAATGACCCAGTATTGTAAAAAAAAAGTGTACCATTATTCCTCTAAATTCTAAGTTACTCTGGGATTTATAGCAATTTTTCCTAGTTAAAAATCTATTAAGACTATTGCCAACTGACAGGGAAGAACAGGGCCCTGAGCTAATCCAGGTGTCCCTTACTTGCTTATCCAAATAAGTGCCTGGGTCTCCAGCCTCCTGCAAATTATGATAGATGAAAGATCTCCATATTTGAATGTTCAAGCAGTCAAACTTACCAGAAAACCTGGTAAGGTACACCCCATAAGGTATCCTAACTTATCAGAAAAACACCAATAAGGTACTTCAGGGTACAGAGATGGACCGTGGAATAAATTACAGCCTTATATAGCATAAACTTCAATTGTACTACCTTACAAAGAAAGCCTGTTACTCAATATTAATGCTTTTCTCTTAAGTGGGGTGGGTTCTGATTTCTCACATCATTTTTCAAAAATGCTTCCTCCCCAAGTAGCAGCTGTATTTTAAAGGCAAATCCAGTATATGAAATTGAGAAATTCTTTCAACTTTGAAGCAATAGAGAAAATCTTAAATAAAAATTGGGCTGTAGAAAAGGCTCTGCCTACATCATCCGGTCCAAAAGGGGAACAATTGGCTGCTTATTTAGACACACCCCCCTCTTCCATGCCAGCCAGACTAACCTGGTTTAGCAAAGTACACTAGGTCTGGCTCTGGGGTGGTCCTTAAAAGCTATGGTTCCCTCCCGAGACATCTTTTTGGGTTCTCAGAAGATTCTAATAATGTCTTTACAATTAGCATCGTAACTGACTGAAGAAGGGTGGGTGAGAGACCATGAGACGGTTCAAAGAATTGGACACATGCTTTGCATGTGAGGGGCCCCAGTTCATCCTCACCACCATATGGACTCCTGAGCACCACCAGATGTTGTCTAGAGGTCAGGGGCAGTGGGAGGTGGGGAAAGAGAGTGAATGAATCACAGCCTTCCTATTGCAAAGGCTATGCCAGCTCATCACTTTTAAGCATTCAAAATCAGCCCTTTTCCTTCCCAAAGAGACCTTAAGTCAAGGAAAGTGTGTGTACAGCAAAAGATACCAAGTTCATTTCTAATACGGCTTTTTTCTATGAGCTACCTGAGAACTCAGATCAGTCCCTTTAACTTAGGATCAACTATCCCTTACGTAAACTGAGGTGTAAAACCAATTCATCCTGCTTCCAGTTGGCAAATACATAGCTTCCATGTGCCTCATTTGTGATTCTATATCCTAGCTTTAGCTTATGATTCTCAGCTGAATTAGTGGGGTATAGTTTCTGGCCACTCGGCTGAAATGAGGCAGAACACTGGCTCTTAATCCCATGCGGAAAAATATGCCTGGGAGCCAGAAATAGGGAATTAGGTGAGTGATAAGATAAAACTATCTGGAAATTATGATACAGTTTCACCACCTGAAAGATGAGCCCTTCAGTGAAGGGTAGATCACTAAGTGGGCCCTATTCATGGGAAGGCTCTTTCCAGCAGAGTAAACCTAGACATGAAAAGAGCACTCTATTTGAGCAAATACAAAGTTAGCATTTTGGACCAATAATCCAAACAGAATAACCAGTATGGGAGAATCAACCCACTTCCTCATGGAGTCATGTCAAGGTCTGATGCTAAGGTCTTAGGGCTTATGCTGGGGTCTTCTCCCTGAGGGAGGACTGGCAAAAAAGCACAGCTGCCCTTTTCTGGACCTGGTCCATGTTCTCACCCTGAAGGAGTGGTGCCATCCACCATGACAGGTGGGCCCCACAGCTATAGCCATTCCCCCATTCAACAGCAATGGGCAGAACAATCTGGAGAAAATGATCTTAGGAGTGTTCACCTGGAAAGGAAGTAAGTCACTGGAAGGTCAGGGCCATAGATTTGAGGGGAGGGCTCCAGAATTTATACCTATATTAAAGCATCCTTACTTAATCCCTGTTGTGTGTTAGATTTGAGGTTGGTGTACAGGGAGGTCTGTGAAACATTTAAACCAGCTCTTACCTAAGTGAATCCATCCATTGACAACTGGGAAAGAAACGGGGAGATGCTGCAGAAATCAGTAAAAGATTTGGGAGTTTTCCTTTCAATATTCCAGGCAGCAGTTTTAACACAGCACTCACACTGCTACAGGCATCTCTCAGTAAGTCAATTTACAATAAAACCTCAAGAAACTACAAGCTTTTGTGTCTTTATTTTTCTACCCTCAGATTAACAAACAAAACAATTTTGAAAATATATCCTATTCACTGTTTCTAAAGTCACATAAATACTGGATTCATGGGGCCAGAGACATGGCTCAGCACGCTGAAGCACACTTGATTTCCTGCACTGTATGGTTCCCTGTGCACCACCAGGAGTAACCCCTGAGCTGGGAGTATCCCCTTAGCACCTCTGGGTGTGGCCCAAAAAACAAAGGGGAAAAAAATTAATCCACTAACTTCTATTTATAGTTTTAAAACTAGTTTATTTCTGCTCTTTATCATAAGCAAAAACCATGTTCAGAAACCAATACATTCAGAGTCCCTCTTAGTTTACACATTACTCAAGTCCAGTCACTGTATCTTATTACAAAATACACGGTACCTTCTCATTTGCTGGTGTCAACCTGAAGGATAGGAAAGAAACTCAGATTCTAGTAAGCACTAACCCCAGCACACCAAGAGACATTGCACTGTTGCGTGATTGAGTAAACTGCCTCCTTCCAAGTCCCCATCCTTCCTATTTTTCCTGTGGGGCCTGGGTCATTCTTGAGCTGCTCCTAGAAATTACAACTGAGAATAGAAATCAGCACCAGAATCAGCATGAGAACATGTGCAAGGTGCATAAGATCTCTCCGAAGGCCACTGACTCTCCCAGCTCCATTCCACAGTTGCCCAGTGTCTATGCGTGTCCCAGGTCGAATGGCATTTAAGCCTGGCTTTATAACTCCAGTCCTTTCACAAGATGGCACAAACTCAATAAAACCTCGTTTTTTTCTGTGAAATTTATTGTTTCCACATTAAAAGACTTTTTTGAAGGGAAGAATATTTTTAAACACATGATGATCCTATACAGCTGCCCAGAGTAGGACACCATCATGAGTCATTACATGCCATGTGAGTTCGGAATAAATAAAAGCTACAAAGCCCAGGTCATATACAAATATCTTAGGCAATAATGTTTACAAACCTATGTACAATAAAACAAATGTAAACAGTAAATGCAGCATGAGCGTAATCAAAGGATGCACAGGGACAACCGTTAATGGTCAATCTGCCTCCCAGGAGCCAGCACTGATCAGCCCCTGGAAAGAGAGAACTCAAGCCTCCTGACGACAACTGGAAAGGCCCCACAAAACAAAACTGCTCTGAAGATGTCATTTAACTGAAGACCAGAAGGCGGGCAAGGAAGCTGCCACCGCCTCCCAGCTGGACCTGAGGCACGTGGAGGAGACAGCACGGAGGCATAGCCCGTCTGCCCAGGCCCTGATGCTCCTACCACCTGGGACTCCGGAAGACATTTCACTGCTCTGAGAGACATTTATGGAATGAGAACTGATCAAGTAAAATCAGAAGGTGCAAAAAACAGTACCTAATTCAGTGACCTTCCTGAAGGCCAGCAACAGACATGAACTGGGGCAGGTGTGAGCAGAGTTGGGGCACACATGATCGTGACTACTGAAGATGCTGTGGCGGGAGCTCAGGAGGGCACAGGGTCAACCTGATTCAGGGGAGAACTTCCAGGAAGATCAGCAATGTCCTAAACACAATAAAATCCTATCAGTACAGCAGGATGGGGAATGAGGCTGGTATGATGAATGGGTACTTCTGCATCCAGTGACCAAGTAATACATGTATGTATCACCTTGTGACACACAAAAGTGCAATCATGTGAAACCAACGGCACTACGGCGAGAAGAGATAATAGCCAGTATTGATATCGCGTAGAACCCTGGGGCCGGGCAGAACCCAGCAGCCGCCACTGCATGCAGCCCGCGCTCTGCCGACCCCAGGGAAGCAGACGGAGGGCACGGGCTGGGCCCAGGTAGCACAGGTAACGTGAGGGTGTCCTGGGTCGCTGAAGGAGGGCAGGAGGCCCCACCTGGAGGCTGGGCACTCACACACTGAGTGGCAGCATGCCCGGGGCCGACGATGGGCGCGAGGAACCCAGACCAGGAGGAGGAGGAGCCGGGTCAAAGCCGTTTACTGCCCTATAACGGTGACCAGAGCAGAGAAGAAAAGGGAAGGGGGAAGAGAAAAAGAAATTGTCATTTAAAATTACTCAATAGACAATAAGAAATTCATTTGTTCTCTAAAACTAGTTCTCTTCCTGGCCCACAGCAGAATCCTGACTATCCAAGGGCACTTAGCATTGGGAGTCTGCAGGAATGGGATTGTCTGCTCCCGTCTCAGTGACAGGACCGGCCCCTGCAGTCATGGCTCTGATCTTCCCATAGTGTGCCAGTAGGCACATAAATCACAGTACAATTGAGACAAAATATTACGTGCCCATTAACAACAACAAATTCCGCAGTTTTTAGCAGCATGGGAAAATATCTAGAATGTAATTAAAGCTAAGTGGGAAAACAATCAGTTTACAAAACAGTATATATTAGATTTTGTATTTTGAAAGATGCACATCTAAATAACAATTACATGAGGATACACACGCAGGAATTTGAAATCAGTGAAGGAAAATTTACTAACAGTTAACTTTTCTTCCCTCTGCACTATGGGTAAATTTTAATATTTTATAATTTGTATTGTTTTTAAATCTTACACAATGTACTCTAGTATCTTAGTAAAGGGGAGAAAAATATTTTTAAATTGTTTAGCAAGTAAAACCAGATGGGTAAACTTCTTTGCAGACTCACAAGCAACAGACCAGACCAACACAAAAGCCTCAGGCACTGGAGCAACACTGAGTGTCCATTCCGCTCCACCCCGACAGCACAGTCATGCAGGCAGCAAGGAACTGGGTATAAGGCCTGAAATCCCTCTCACGAAGCCACTTCAGCCTTTTCCTACTGAAAGATGCCCCCAGAAATTTGTTCTACTAGCAATCTGAAAGATGCATCAGCTGCAAGGATCCACGGTGTCCACACTGACCCACCACTGATCCCCACCCACATCTTCCTAGAGGGTCAAGAACTGAATGCAGACTCAAGAAGAGGTACTCTAAAACAAAACCAACACACACACACAGACACACACACACACACTCTCACACTCACACTCACGTGCCCAATCGATAATCAGTTTCATATACTGAAAAGGTGAATGTAATCACATAGAAAAACAGGTATGTGAAGAGATTTGTGTTGACAAATGACCCTTGACTACTTAGAAAAAACGTTAATGCCTGAAGAAACTAGCCTGAGTATATCTGAGTTTGGAATCCAGCTGTTTACTCACAGACCAAAAACATGAGAGGCTCTCACAAATACCATGTAGTGATCAATATCCCAAATTCCAGGGCTGAAGAGATAGTACAGGGCAGGGCAGTTGCCTTGCACACTGTCAACCTGGGTTCAATCACCAGCATCCCATATGGTTCCCCCAAGCCTGCCAGGAGTGTAAAATCCTGAGTTAAGCCCTGAGCACTGCCAGGTGTGGCCCAAATAGACAACAACCACCAAAAAAATTCCAAATTCTTTCTGAATCAACTGAGGCCAGATATTTGAGATTACATGTATAAATTTTGAATTATCCCTCCCACCTCTGCTAAAGCTGTATGACTGTGCCTCTTCCAGGAGTTATGGTACTTCAAATAATAAGCTCCATGTGGTATTTACCTGTCTGGTTAGTTCCAAAGCACGAATGTCTACTTCTAAAGCCTCAGGCATTCCAAGTAGCATCAGCTTTAAAGCAGATGAATATCAGATTCTCAGACTCAGTGGAGGAGAGCAGTGGGGAGAAAAAGCTGTACTGAGACAACCCCAAAAGCTTAGCATAAGGGGTCAAGGAAGAACCAGCACCATGAAGCATATGAAAGCAGGAACGCAGGCATAGGGATGAAGACCAGCATTTTCCATCAAGATGGACCATTAAAGAAGAAGTTCATCCCCACTGTTCACTGCTCAGGAAACCAAAGCAAGACAAGGCCCAGCAACCCCCTGCACTTACTCTCTAAGCCCACCTATTGGGAAGATGGGCCCAGAGATCCAGATGCTTCCAGATGCTCCCAGTCTCTTCTGGTCAAGGACACTCAATAGCCCTCAAAGAAGTATCACTATGGTGCTACCAGAGCAGATTAGCACTAATGGGAAAACAAGTGGCATGACCGAAAAACACAGGGGATTTCTCCGTGGATGAAAATGAAAATTCTTGATCTGAAAACTGGATGAAACAAACAGAATAATAATCTGTCATGTATCTATCAAATCTTCCAAGTCTAGAAGTGGGAAATAAAAGATGAGAGGGAAAAGAAATCTGACTCTTCAGTGAACAGCAAAGTTGTGTAATGTTCAAGGTTTCCAAGAAAAGAAACAGCTCCGTACTCACCTCAGCTGGCTTCAGGGGACAGCAACAAAGCCAAAGAGAAATGTCCCAGTGGACAACACAGGACTGAACGGAGAAAGAACAGGCAGGGATGGAGATACAGATGGGAATCAGCTACATAAAAAGATTTCCAGAAACTATGAAATGTCATGGTCAAACTACCAAAATCTAGTTAAGAGTCAAAAAAATAACGAATCCAGCTGAAAGGAGAGAGAATCAATACAGATTTAGAAGCTGACTAAACCGACTTAATGCCGAGAGAGAGAGAGAGAAAGCTTGGGAACATATACATCTGTAAAGACACTAGAGAAAAGGATGAGATGAGGCTAGTCCTATACAAGAGAGCAAGCAGACACACCAGCCTCACACCCCTTAATTAGATGGTGAAACAGAAGCTCGGCATAGCTCCAGCCAACTATAGTCCTCAGTCCAGACTCTGCAAACTGAAATGTATTCTTGGAAAATTGGCTCTGCAATACATAACCCCCTTTGCCATTCCAATGTGTATGAGAATATAAGAGTGAACCTCCCCTCCCCCTAGTCCCCATATCAGTGCCTGCGTTGAGGAAAGAGAAGACACTGGATTAAGAAGCCCAATTCCATGAGTCTAACTGGCTCAGGGTTTTAATAGTGACCTTCAATTCCGCCCCCCCACCCCCCCCCCACCCTCCCCTTTCCTGGCCTCATCAGTATAGCACCATCAGGCCTGTTCTTACAACTCCTCCAGAATAACTACAACAAATTTATTTTTGCTTTGCACCACTGAAGCAATAATAATGGCAATAATAATGGTCTACAATCAAATCAAACAAGAACTTTAAAGCTCATGCTTGGGGCTGGAGCAATAGTACAGCAGGCAGGGCATTTGCCTTTGCATGCGGTCGACCCAGGTTCGATCCCAGCATCCCGTATGGTTCCCAGAGCACCACCAGGAGTAATTCCTGAGTGCAAAGCCAGGAGTAACCCCTGTGTAGCATTGCCCAGTGTGACCCAAAAAGGAAAATAAAAAAAGCTCACGCTGGTGTAAGTTAATCAGTTCATGTGTCTTTCACCACACCATGATTGAGAAAGAGTGAAAAAGGGTATAGCAAACAAATTCTGTTACCCATGAACAACAAAAAAATAAGACGTTTTCTTGCCTAATAAAAAAGGGGGCTGGAGCGATAGCACAGCGGGTAGGGCGTTCGCCTTACAAGCGGCCAACATGGCCGACCCGAGTTCGATTCCTTCGCCCCTCTCGGAGAGCCCGGCAAGCTACCGAGAGTATTCGATATGCCAGACACAGTAACAACAGTCTCCAATGGAGACGTTACTGGGCCCACTCGAGCAAATCGACGATCAACAGGAGGGCCTTTACCTTACCTTACCTTATAAAAAAAGGAAAAATACATTAAAAAGTAATTCAAATACTATTCTTACATCATGCCCTAAATCTCATCTATGCCAAGCTACACACAGCACAGCCCAAAAGAAATCAGACTGGCATACAAAACTAGGGTAAGTGATAAGTAAGTTAAACAGAAAAGATGGAAAAATATTTTTGCAGGACCTCAAGTGACTAGGGTCTGTATCATGAATGTGTATACAGACATGAATCTGCATCCTTTTAGGTGAGTGGCATGGAGCTACTGGTAGTTGGAAGCAACTTAAAGAATCCCCTGGAAAAGAGGTTTGGCAAATAAATTCTAGGAACTGGCAAAGTGATCACAGCCCTCAAATTGCCAAAATTTAGAAAATAGTTTTAAATCCCATAAAACAATAAATAACAATAAGGCATATTCTTTTAAGTGTTTTTTGTGTTTGTGTGTGTGTGTGAGAGAGAGAGAGAGAGAAAGGTAGAGAGAGAGAGAGAGAGACTTCAATGCATCTGAAGATTATGAGGTAGGCAAGAAAGCACTTATATATTGAGTCACATTCATGCAATGCACACAAACCTACTTTGTCACAAACAATGCTTCTATTGGTCTCTAGGTACACTAATAAAACTGGTAATTGTTAGGAGTAAGAGATAGATGAAGGGCAAGTTCTAGAGCTGAAGACCTTTTTTTAACACGAAGCTTTGACAGCTCCAATTAGGAAGCACATTTCCAGGTTCAGTTGGGAAAGTAACTGAACCTGCATCTAGAATGGTCCCACGGGGACACAGACTGCCACTGTGGCCAAGGCCCGCTCCTGGTTTTAGGTGACATCGAAGTCTGGGTTCACCTCTGATCACTCACTACCCTGCAGCAGGGATAAAGCAGAAGTCAGTATCTCTGGACTGACACAGTTCATCATTACTATTCTAAGTCGAAGGCATCTATTCAACCTAGCAGGTTAAGACTCATGCCTTTTCTTGGATCTGGAGATACTACAGTGGATAAAGTGCTTGCCTTACACACGGCTGACTCAGGTTCAATCACCAGCATCCCATGAAATTCCCCAAGCACTACCAGAAGTAATTCCCAAGTGCAGAGTCAGGAGTAACCACTGAGGTATGGCAGGGTATGGCCCAAAATACACACACACACACACACACACACACACACACACACACACACACGATTCACACCTATTCTCACATCTTAAGGCCCATCAAAATATATAATTATAAAGACTCATAACATTCTATTAGAGGTAACTAAAGCTGCAAGAAGAAATCATTAGGCAGTTTTCAATACTCATTAAAACTAGACCTAAACTTTCCCTATTTTATTTAGGAGAAATGTCAACTCTAAAGTAAATCTGTTTATTCCACTTACTGTTACAGTATAAAAATAGGCACTCCTCCGGGGGTATGGTGCCACCAGTAGGTCAATCTGTACCTGTGAGGCGAGTGCATCAGCAGCCTGATGGCGCCTTCAGACTTCCAGATACCCCAAAATTGCTGCTGTGCCTTTGGCCAGACCCCAAAAACTTGGGGCAAAGTTTACCAAGAAAGTAAACAGCCAAAAGTTAGGTATGTGGAAAACACACCCACAAACCACCTCCGGTCAGCTATATAATTGGAGGCAAGGCCTCTCTGGCTCCTGATTGAACTGCTTAATGGCCATGATCCCAGAGACTCAGAAACGAATCTTGGAAACCAGAGGCTTTAGGTAGAAATGCGTCCAGTCCCTGCAGTAGGTTACCGGTGATGGGTCAACCCAGGTAGGAATAGGTTTCGTGCCTTGGTCTGTTCCCCCTGGTGGCCCGGTGGCTGCCATCCTCCAGAGGCCACTGGATAGTCAGGTTTGGGCCCCCAGTGACGAGACACACAGGGCCTCATGGGATGGGGATGGAGCTGGGCTTGTCCTCCCCACCCCAATGAGACCCCAAGTCATCGCCCACGAATGGCCTCTCTGGCTCCTGATCCAGCTGCTTAATGGCCATGATCCCAGAGACTCAGAAACAAATCTCAAAACCCAATGGCTTTTGGCAGAAATGCGTCCGGAACCCACAGTACGTTACTGTCGCCGGGCCACCCCAGGGAGGAAAGGGTGTTGTCACTCCACCTGCTCCCTCTTGGCGGCTCAGTGGCCATCATCCTCCACAGGCCATTGGACAGTCAGGCTTGGGCCCACAGTGACGAAACTTGTTGGGCCTCACGGGATGGAGGGGGAGCCGGGCTTGTCCTCCCCTCCCCAGCGAGACCCAAGCCTTCGCCCATGAATGGCCTCTCTGGCTCCTGATCAAGCTGCTTAACGGCCTTGATCCCAGAGACTCAGAAACAAATCTCGAAACCTAGCGGCTTTTGGCAGAAATGTGTCCAGACCCTGCAGTAGGTTACTGTCGCCAGGCCACCCCAGGGAGGAAAGGGTGCTGTCCCTCCACCTGTTTCCCCCTGGCGGCTCGGTGGCCGCCATCCTCCAGAGGATGGACAGTCAAGCTTGGGCCTGCAGTGACGAAACTTGTTGGGCTTCATGGGATGGGGTGGAGCCGGCCTGTCCTCCCCACCCCAACGAGACCACAAGTCATCGCCCACGAACGGCCTCTCTGGCTTCTGGTCAAGCAGCTCAACAGCCATAATCCCAGAGACCCAGGAGCAAATCTCGAAACCCAGTGGCTTTTGGCAGAAATCCCTCCAGATTTAAGTGTTAAAATTTCAAAATTTCAAAACCACATGGCCCTACTGCAGCCACGCGACATCATATGTTATTCATAACCAGCAATAGAACACAAACTGTCTATTGTTGCCTTTTCAGCATATCTGAGCGTTGGGGTAAAATATCAAATAATAATGGTGGGTCTGGTGTCAAAATAGTGAATGTGATCAAAGCAGAGAGAGAGTAATGTAGAAATCATCTGCCCCACAGGCAGGGGGAGGGTGTGGGATGGGGGTATACTGGGATTTTTGGTGGTGGAGAATGGGCACTGGTGAAGATACGGGTGTTTCATTGTATGACTGAGACTTAGACCCAAAAGCTTTGTAACTGCTCTTACGGTGATTCAATAAATAAAATTATAAAAAAAGAAAAATGAAAGTAAGGTGGAGTTCATGCACAATTCAATCAGCTAATCAGTGGCTGAATAAATAGCAGTACTCCTACAAAAAAAAAAAAAAAGGCACTCCTCAGGAAAATTAATTTTATACACAGTTCCCCAGAGGAATCCCCAAAAGCTAAAGTTCTGTATTTTTAAAATGTGCTTTTTAATGAAATGTGTATAAATTCATGGAGAAAAAATATATATAAATATATGTGTGTGTATATATATATATGTATGTATATATATATATATATATAGAGAGAGAGAGAGAGAGAGAGAGAGACAGAGAGACAGAGAGAGAGAGAGGTAGAATCCTCTTTTTTAAAAACATCAGGAAAAAAAAAACTAACCAGAATGAATAAAAATCTTTTTAAGGTGAATTGTGTGCCAAATTAGTTTCTCCTTAAAATATGCCATAGTTACGGGGTAAACAGAAAACAAAAAAATATTTTAAGAAACTAAAATTTTCTAGAGTTGAATCTGCTTTCACATCCTCTATGATTCACAGCAGAGAGAGGGCCATGGATCCTGATACGTCAGCTGCTGTTCCAAGAGCTCCACTTGGTAGTACAGCCAGCATTCCCAAAGTACAAGGTCTTAACTGGTGTAAGTTAGGCAACCCAAGTGAGAGCATAATCATGTGGTGTTTGCAGTGTCAGTTCTGTTAATTGAGACAGAACAGTATGTACTGCATGGAAAGATACTAGAAATACTTAAGTTATGCTAGACATGTTGCAGAGCAATGTTTAAAATATAATTTCGGGCCAGAGATAATACAGTAGGTAAGGTTACGTTGTACATAGTTGAATTTGATTCAATTACCAGCACCCCATCTGGCCCCCAAAGCCCACCAGGAGTGATTTCCTGATCAAATAGTCAGGAATAAGCCCTGAGCACTGCTATAGCCCAAAAATCAAAGAAAGATAAATACATATATATATACACATATAATGTAAAATATGTATATTACAAATACATATAACCCTATAAAATTTAAGTGCATAGGAGAAAGATAAAATTATAATTTTAATCCCTAGAAATATTGTAAGAATTCAAACATATTTGAATGCAACCAAAAATATTTTTATTTTACTTAATATACTTCTGTGCTGGCTGGTATTTTATTTGCAGCAAGAAGAATATACCACAGGGGCTGGAGCAATAGCACAGCGGGTAGGGCATTTGCCTTGCATGCAGCCAACCTGGGTTTGATTCCCAGCATCCCGTATGGTCCCCTGAGCACCACCAGGGGTTAATTCCTGAGCGCAAAGCCTGGAGTAACCCCTGTGCATCGCCAGATGTGACCCCCCCCAAAAAAAGAATATACCACAGCTCAAGGGATGGAGATATAGTACAGTGGATAGGGCACTGGCCTCATATGCGGCTGACCCAGGTTTGATCCCCACCATCCAGTATGGTCCCTAAGCAGTGGCAGGAGTATTTCTTGAGCACAAGATCAGGATTAAGTCCCAAGCATCACTGGTATGGTCCAAAAATGAAAAGGCGGGGTAGGGGGTGGCGGGGGGGGGGGGGGGGGGGGGGCGGGGAAGGACATGGAGAGTAAGAGCAGAAGGAGAAGAGAGGGAGGAGAGGGAATGAGAGGGAGGAGGAAGGAGGAATACTGTGGCTTCAATTTTATGACAAGTATTTTTAAATTCTCAATTCCCCAAAGAATATCTTTACATCATGTGAAAGTTGCCTCCTAGGCACAATTTAATGCAGTTTTTTATTTCCCTAAAACCTCCAAAAATAAAGGTCTGCTGCAATGTGAGCATATACCTGGTGAGATACTCTCTCCTCTACCATTAACCAGTATTTGTCGAGAAAGTTTGTTAGTCTCTAAGCACCTTGAGAACAAGGACCATATCATAAATCTGTTGAATCCCCAGCGCTTTATTCTGCTGCTTCTCAAGACTGCTTCCCAGGGCACACGCTTCAGTCAGGGTTTCCAAGGTTACAGTCTCCATGGGGATGAAAAGACAACAGATTTCATGTCCCCCAAGATTTGAATGCTAACAGCCTTCAGGTTTACCAAACTGGTCTACCTTTAGAAGGCTCCAATAAGCTCAACTAATAATGTACAACTTCTCCACTCAGAAAATTTTCATTTAAAACTTTCAAGACTTACCCTTTATCAAAGAAAGATGTGTGCCCTGATCGAGAGAACTTTGTGCCGTTACTATTCATCACCCCACAGTTAACATTCCCTGAAATATAGGATTTTCGTGATGCTTGGTCCTTCGCAAAATTCCTGCAAGCTGCTAATTTGGATTCTAAAGCCTGCAAAAAGAAAGAATGATTAATGGTCAAAACCGTAGCTACCCATAAAAATGTGCATTTCAACCATCTGAATATTTCAAAACTCAAAAACTTCAGTATTTCAGTTAATAACTGTACCCACTTAAGACATAATTTACTTCAAACAGACAGAGGAGATATTTGAGGCTGGGGAGATTGCTCAGGTGGCTGGAGTACATAGAGAAGCCCTGAACTCCGTTCCAGCACTGCAGGGTGTAAACCCCTGCTCCCCAGCACCTTGTCCCATAAGTTGACTCACTTTCTAATAAGCTCAGAATATTTTATTTCTCTCACTATTACTGAGGAATACAGATCTAACCCTCCACTTACAATTAGGAAAATTGGGATGAGTTCAAGAGAAGCAACATAGAGTCATCAGGATCCCAGAGAGGAAGGCAACTCCAATGAGGAAGTACAGTCAAAGGCATCACTGCTGAAAATTTCCCAAAGATGGAGAACACAGGAATCCAGATCAGAAGCCCAAAGGGTACCAGCTAAAAGAAACCCCAATAAAAACACTCCAAGACATATCCTAATCAGAAAGATGAAAACCACAGGTATATAATACTGAAAGCAGCAAAATCAAAGAAGGAAATTATACACAAAAGAGCATCCCTTAGATGAACAGCACTGTAGCACTGTAGCACTGTCCTCCCGTTGTTCATTGATTTGCTCGGGCAGGCCCAGTAACGTCTGCGTGGCGAGACTTGTTGTTACTGTTTTTGGCATATCAATTACATCACAGTAGCTTGCCAGGCTTTGCCATGTGGGCAGGATACTCTAGGTGGCTTGCTGGGCTCTCCGAGAGGGGCGGAGGAATCGAACCTGGGTCAGCCTTGTGCAAGGCAAACGCCCTACCCCCTGTACTATGGCTCCAGCCGGTTAGATTAACAGCAGGCCTATCAAATGAGACCCTCTGGGCACAACATCAAAGATGGGATATAGTAAAAAAAAAAAAGTAATGAAATGAAGGCCTCACCAAGAATACACTACCCAACCAGACTCTATCAATCAGATATGAAGGAATGATACACAACTTCACAGATAAAAAACAGCTCAGGAATTTCACAGACTCAAAACTAATTGTGAAAGAAGAACTGAAGGGGCGAAAAACATCTGAAGAGTCAGAGCAAACATAGACTCAAAGTCAAAGAGTCAAAAACAATTCATCAAGAAAACAACTTCACAAAAGTCAGGGTGGTCAAACTCATACCCAAAAACACAGATTTCAGGCTCAAAAAGATTACAAGAGACAGCAATGGTCATTTCTTAATAATCAAGGGATGTGCAGATCAGGAAGAAATTATACTCCTAAATGTATATACATCCAATGAGGGGCCAGCAAAATACTTCAGACAACTGCTAATAGACTTCAGGGAGGACACTGATAGCAATGAGTTATCTCACCATGAGGTACAGTTGTAGACTTAGATCAATCAGAATAAAACTCAACAAGGAAATACTGGCTCTGGAGGAATACATGGAAGACAAGGGGCTAGTAGATATACACAGGGTTTTTTTGTCCCAAAAAAACTGAATACACATTGTTCTCCAGTGTACACGGAACATTCTCCAAGATAGCCCACACAAAGGGCCACAAAATGTACCTCCGTAAAAGCAAGAGAATAGAAATTGTATCAACTATCTTCTCAGACTATGATGCACTGAAAATAGAAGTTAATCACACACAGAAATGGAAAATCAAATCAAACACCTGGAAATTAAACAGCTCACTACTCAACAACCAGTGGGTCGGGGAGGAAATCAAAGAGGAAATCAAAAGATTCCTTGAAACAAACAAGAATGAGTACACGATTCACCAAAACTTGTGAGACACAGCAAAGCAGTGTTAAGAGAAAAGTTTAGAGCTCTACATGCATACATCAGAAAGGAAGAAAAGGCCTACATAAATAACTTCACAGCTTATGATCTTTGAAAATGACCAACGAACGGAGCCCAAACCAGGCAGGGAGAAGGAAATAATAAAACTTAAGAGCAGCAGAAATAAACGAGCTGGAATCCAAAAACCATAAAAAAAAAAAATCAATGAAACCAAGAGCTGGTTCTTTGAAAAAGTAAACAAGATAGATAAGATAGATAAACCACCTAGCAAGACTCACAAAGAGAGAAAGAACCCAAGTAAATTTAAGCAGAAATAAAAGGGGGGATGTCGCAACATCTCACAAAAATTCAAGAGATCACCAGAGATTACTTTGAGAATCTTTATGCCACAAAAAAAGAGAACCTAGAGGAAATGGATAAATTCCTAGATCCCAACTAACCACTCCTATTCAATATAGTTCTGTAAGTGCTTGTCATAGCAGTTAGGCAAGAAAAAAATATCAAGGGCATCCAGATAGAAAAAGCAGAAGCCGAGTTTTCACTATTTGCAAATAACATATTACTATATTGAGAAAATCCTAAAGACTACAAAAAAAGCTCCTAAGAACAATAGATTAGTATAATAAAGTGGTAAGTTACAAAATCAATATGCAAAAGTCTATAGCTTTCCTATATTAAAATAATGAAAAAGAAGAGATATTAAAAAAAATCCCGTTCACAATTGTGCCTCAGAAAATTAAGTACATAAAAATTAGATTAACAAAAGAGGTAAAAGACATACACGAAGAAAACTATAAAATACCACTTAAAGAAATAAAAGAGGACATGAGGAAATGAAACACATTCCCTGCTCATGGACTGGAAGGTTTAACACCACCAAAATGACAATACCCCCCATTTTGAATTATACAGAGTCAATGCAATTCCTCTAAGGGTACCTACCCATGACATTTTTCAAAGAAATAGATAAAATACTCCTGAAATTGATATGGAACAATAAACCCCAAGATTAGCTAAAGTAATTCTTGGGGGGAAAGGAGATGGAAGGCATCACCTTTGCCAACTTCAAACTGTACTACAAAGTGATAATTAAAACAGCACAGCACTAAAACTGTACTGCAAAGTGGTAGTAATTAAAACAGCATAGTACTGAAATAAAGACAGACTCTCATATCAATGTAATAAAGTTGAATATTCTGACACAGATCCTCAAATATATGCGCATTTAATCTTTGATAAGGGAGCAAGAAACATTAGGTGAAGCAAGGAAACCTTCTTCAACAATTGGTGCTAGGAAAACTGGGCAGCTATATGCAAAAAAATTGAACTCACCATGCACAAAAGTCAGATTAAAATGGATTAAAAACCTCAATACCAAATCTGAATCCAGAGAGAAAGAAAGAGAGAGAGAAAAAAAATATCTGCCAGAGAGGCAGGCTGGGACGAGGGGAGGGGTGGCAGAAAGAAAAACTGGAGATACTGGTAGTGGGAAATGGTGACGGAATGGCCATTACACCATTGTATGACTCGAAACCCAATCATGAACAATTTCCCAACTGTGTATTTCACTGTGATTCAATTTTTAAAAAAACCCTGCTTTTGATAATACTAAAAATAGGTATTATACGTAGTAGAAAAACTAAGCAGGGAGTGATAGTAAAGCAGGTAGGGTACTTGCTTTGCACACATCCTTTGCAGAAATCTGACCATGGTTCAGATATGGTCCTCAGAGCCAAACCAAGAGTGACTCCTGATAAACAGCCAGGGTAAGCCCTGAGCACAACCAGGTCTGGTCCAAAAATAAATTAAAAAAAAATAAAATAAAATAAAATAAAATTTTTTAAAATAAATAAATAAAAGAGAAAGAGAAGGAAGAGGAGGGAGGGAAAGGAAGGAAGGAAGGAAGGAAGGAAGGAAGGAAGGAAGGAAGGAAGGAAGGAAGGAAGGAAGGAAGGAGGAAGGAACTGAGAGGGATGGAGGGAGGGAAGGAAGGAAGGAGGAAGGAAGGAAGGAAGGAGAAAGAGAAAGAAAGAAAGAAAGAAAGAAAGAAAGAAAGAAAGAAAGAAAGAAAGAAAGAAAGAAAGAGCGAGCAAACGAACAGAACAAGCAGAAAAAACAAGGTTAGTATTTCAAAAGTCGAAGGATACAGTCTGGAGATAACAGTGCAGTTGGGGTGGCCAAGGAACATGTAAGTAAGATGAACGTGTCCTCCCACTGTTCATCGATTTTGCTCAAGCGGGCCCAGTAACGTCTCCATTTTGAGACTTCTTGTTACCGTGTCTGGCATGTCAAATACGTCACGGGTAGTTTGCCAGGCTTTGCCGTGTGGGCGATACTCTCGGAGAGGGGTGGAGGAACTGAACCCGGCTCAGCCAGGCTGGCTGCACACAAGGCAAACGCCCTACTGCTGTGCTATCGCTCAAGATGAACATGACTTAGAGAAATGATGTACAGCATGTTCAGGTTTTACAAAGTAAAGCTCATGTAAAAACAAACAGGAGCAAAGGTGGGAAGACACAGGCTTTAGAGGAAGTATTTAGAAAAGAACAAAATGGAAGCTCCACAAAGCAGAAACAGTCATGGGGAACACAAGAATGTCCAGTGAGAACTCAGGCAACTCAGAGAACAGCTCCTCCAGAAGCACCAGCAAGTCCAAGTTGGGGAGGAAGTGGGGGAATCTGAATTAATCTCAGCTACTTTAAAGGATACTTTTTGCTTTTCAGTTTAATTATAGCCTTGACTACAAGAAAGGATCATTTTTTTCTTCTCTCACTTCAACTAAAGGAAAAATGAAATGCCTTGCTATTTGAAATACACATAAATAAATAACTGAATGCTTACCCCTACTTTCCGTAAGAGATCTCCCACGATATTCAGTGCTGATATCCTGGCAGAAGGAGTCAGCGGACTGGTACCAAAACCATTTGGTATAGCTAGAAGAAAATAAAACACAAGTAACTAAATTTGCAGCAATACAATATATTTATCAGTAATTTTAACTATATCAATTTCACCTCCTAAGACGAAAATAAGAGTAAACAAAAGGTTGATTACTCAACTGTGGCTAATGCAACTGAAAAACTGAATTATAAATCTCAATACATTAAAGTTAATAAAAAATTTAATTTAAGTATTAGTCTCATGTGACTATTCTGCCTATCTTAATTTGAAAGGCTTTTCTGTTTATCTCAATTTGGAAACACTCACTGATGATGGCAAAAGCAATATTCTCAATGTGTAACTCATCAGTTATTCTGTAACCTTTAAAAATGACAGCTATGGGGCCAGAGTGAGAGTAGAGCTGAGAGAGAGCTTGCACTACATGCAGCCAACTCAGGTTCAATGTCTAGAAGCCCATATGGTTTACTGAGCCCTACCAAAAGTGGTCCTTGAACACAGAGCCAGAGGTAAGCCCTGAACACCACTGGATATAGCCCAAATAAATAAACTGTCAGCTAGGGGGTACTATCTGTGGTACCCCTTACGTGTAGCTAACTGGTTTGATCCCTGGCACCAAATATCCTGAGCACCATCAGAAGTGATCCCTGATCACAGAGCCAGGAGTAAGTCCTAAGCACTGCCAGGTGTGGTCAAAAAAGACAAAATTACTTTAAAAATTAAAATGACTGCGATGCCTCCAGAAGCACAAGGACTTAATGCAGAGCCCGGCAGCTTGCAGCAGAAAAGTGAATAGACTATGTGTTAATCCACACCACCATGCCTGCCCAGAGGGGAAAGGGTGTTGCTCCCTTCCACCTTTATCCCTCTGAAAGAAAGATGGCAGCTGCTCCGGAGCTTTATGGAAAGCCAGGTATGAGCTGGTCGTGATGGGGCGACTGAAACCTCATGGGAAGGGGGGCGTTCCCGGCTCGTCCTTCATGCCCTACTGAGGTCACGAGTTGCCCCCCACGAGCGGCTCTCTGGCACGGCCATGGCTCCAGAGCACAGAAACCAATCTCATAATTATCTGACTCTCAGCAGAAATACTTCCAGGCTTACTAAGTAAAATACCAGAAGTCCAAAATCAATAAATAAATTAATCCAAACCCCAAAAATCAATCAATAAATAAAATCTAAAAAAAAAATTTTAATGTTTCTATATAAACATTTAATGCCATAATCAAAATAAATTTTTAAGAAGTAAAGAAAAATAAGCTTTCTTTCAAAACCTGTGACTTGGGGCCAGGAAGACAGTACAGAAGTTAGGATGCATGCTTTGCATGAAGGGAACCCTGGTTTGATCCCTGTCATATTTGCCCAGACACTGCCAAAATGCAGACCTAGAAGCCTCTGAATACTACCTACCATACATGATCCGAGTGGCACTGGAACCTCACCAGGGTGGTCCTATGTCTAACCAATACCTCATTCTGAAGCTCCAGCATCAACCTATTCAACCCAGGTTGCCCAGAGTCACCAGGAATTACTAGATAATCATCAGAACTGTTGTCAGCTAGCAAGACAGTTCAAAGCGGCAGAGCACATAGTCTGACAGACAAAAGGCCTGAAACTCAGTCTCCCACCCAACCAAAGAGTCTTTATTACACTTTACTATCTATGGTCCATACGACCTGGCCCCCCAGGACCCACCTATATCACTATTTTTAAAAAATAATAATAATAACTTTTAAAACTCTCCATTTATTAAAGTTTCTATCCATCATTCCTTCCTCTGTATGAGTGGCCCAAGAAAATTTGGATTTGATTTTACTTTGGATTTTACTTTGATGCTGCTGAAATTGTTGCTGGAACTTGATGTCAACAAACCAGCTGAAGTTAATAACCTATCATAGAGGCCGGGGCAATGGTACAGTGGGTAAGACATTTGCTTTGCACACAGCTGATCCAGATTTGATCCCCCAGCATCCCATATGGTCCTCACAGACTGGCAGGAGTGATTCCTGAGTTCAGAACCAGGAGTAACCCCAGAGTACTGGCAGCATGGCCCAAAACCAAGCCACACAAAACGTAACAAGAATCTATCATAGGCTGTAAAAAGAAAAAACACTGCAAACCTTTTGGTGAAGGAAAACCGTTTTCAGTTCCTTTGCCTACAGGAGTAGCTGGCAAAGACAGTGATGCCTGAACCGCAGAATCCATCTTTTCACAGTCTAGTGTTGGAGAACTAGGAGCTGACTTTCTGGTTACTTCCTGCTGTCTTTCCCGAACTGCTAGCTCTTGTCTTAAATCTGTAAAATGTTGAAACAGAAGCAATACTCACTAGAAAAGCAAATTTATCAAGCAAAATCACATTAGAAATGTCTTAAAGAATGTCTTCTTAAATTATTATTTTCTCAAAAATGAATTTAGCACAGCGGTAGGGCGTTTGCCTTGCACGCAGCCAACATGGCCGACCCGAGTTCGATTCCTCCGCCCCTCTCGGAGAGCCCAGCAAGCTACCGAGAGTATTCGATATGCCAGACACAGTAACAACAAAGTCTCCAATGGAGACGTTACTGGGCCCGCTCGAGCAAATCGATGAACAGCGGGAGGACAGTGACAGAATTTCCAATGTAAAGACTCTTATTTCAAGGGGAATAAAACAAAAATCTTACACTTTAGAAATTAAAAATGCTATAATTAAGGATCAAGAATATAGCCCATGCATTGTATATGAGTCTCCGAGTTAGAGCCCTGGTATTCTAAACAAAAATCAATACCAATAAAAATGCTATATTTTATCTTTAAAATATTATAAACGGGCCGGAGGGATAGCACAGCAGGTAGGGCATTTGCCCTGCACACGGCTGACCTGGGTTCATTCCCCAAGCATTACCAGGAGTGATTCCTAAGTGCAGAGCCAGGAATAACCCCTGAGCATTGCCAGGTATGACCCAAAAAGCAAAAAAAAAAAAGGGGGGGGGAAGGGCTGGAGCAATAACACAGCGGGTAGGGCATTTGCCTTGCACGCGGCTGAACCGGGTTTGATCCCCAGCATCCCATATGGTCCCCTGAGCACCGCCAGGGGTAATTCCTGAGTGCAGAACCAGGAGTAACCCCTGTGTGTCACTGGGTATGACCCAAAAAGAAAAAAAAAGTAAATAAAATAAAATGCTATAACTAAATTGTATAGTTGTCTATACCCATATGCAAAAACCAAAGCACAATTCAAGACAGAATTTGTTTTGACCCAACCCAGCAGGGCTCATGGCTTACTCTTGGCTCTATGTTAAGGATCTCCTGGTGGTGGAAGCTCAGGGGACCATATTGGAGCCAGAATCAAATCAAGGCAAGCACCCTCCCTACATATTATCTCTCCTTCCTGTTCCTCCCAAAATTGGCTGGGTCAACAATTTTTGCAATAATTGCAAATCAAATAATGTAATATACTCTCCACAAAAGGCAAGAAAAAATCATAAGATCATATCAATTGATAAAGAGAAAACTTCTGACAAAATTCAATATCCATCCATACTTTGTTTTGATTTGTTTTGTTTTTTTTGGGCCACTCCTGCCTGTGCTCAAGGTTTACTCCTAGCTTTGCACTCAGGAATCACTCCTGGCAGGCTTAGGGGAATATATGGGGTGCCGGGGTCCAACCCAGGTCAGCCATGTGTAAAGGCAAACATCCTAACTACTGTACTATTGCTCTGGCATAGTACATTTTAACATCCACTCATGATGTTAAAAAAAATAACGGGGTCAGAGCAATGGCACAGCAGGTAGAGCTTTTGCCTTGCATGCAGCTGACCCGGATTTGATCCCCGTCTTCCCCTATGTTCCCAGAGCACTGCTGAGTGATTCCTGAGTGCAATCAGGATTAAACCCTGAGCACCACTGGGTGTGACTCAAACACAAAAAAATTAAAATGAAGTTAGAAAAGCCTTCCTCAATATAGTAACATTATTGCAAAGGAAAGTTATCAGAATCCTTGGAGGAGGGAGATGGGTACACTGGTGATGGGTGTGGTGCTAAAATTATGTGCACAAGAAACCATTATTAATAGTATAAACCACAGTTTCCATTTTTTTAAATGCTAAGATAGTAACAGAAATTTATATTAAACCCATAGCCAACACCATACTTGGCAGCAAAAAACTGAAAGCCTTCCCTCTCCAATTGAAAAAGGCAAGGATGTCCACTTTCTCTACTACTAGTCACATCAAGTATCTATGTATCAGCTAAAAAGATGCAAAAGACCTTAAAAACTGTGAATTACCTATGAAAGAAATAAAATATAAAAGGACACCAGGAAGTTGAAAAATATTCCAATTTCATACAATGGAAGAATCAACAATGTCAAAATGACTATTCTACCCAAAGTAGTATACAGATTCAACACAATCCCCAACAAATTACAACTACAATCTTCAAGAACTTAGCATGAAGGTAAAGGTAAAGGTAAAGGCCCTCCCGTTGATCGTCGATTTGCTCGAGCGGGCCCAGTAAGTCCCCATTGGAGACTTTGTTGTTACTGTGTTTGGCATATCGAATACACTCGGTAGCTTGCCGGGCTCTCCGAGAGGGGCGGAGGAATCGAACTCGGGTTGGCCATGTTGGCTGCTTGTAAGGCGAACGCCCTACCGCTGTGCTATCGCTCCAGCCCATGAATACTAATCAAATTTCTTTTAACATATTTATCATAAAGCTCCACAAATAACCAAAACAATTCGGAAAAAATAATATGGGATGCCTCTTTTGCAAACCACAACACCCAAAAGGAGAGAGAGAACAAAGGGGAATGCCCTGCCACAGAGGCAGGGTGGGGGGGGGGGGGGTGGGAGGGAGAGGGATACTGGGATCCGTGGTGGTGAGAAATGGGCACTGGCGGAGGGGTGGGTATTTGATCATTGTATAATTGAAACCCAAGCACAAAAATTTGTAAGTCTACACCTGTACCTCATGGTGTCTCACTAATAAAAATTTTAAAATTTTAAAATAAAGAAAAATGATAATAATATGGGAGGCTACAGCATTTTCTGACTTTAAAGTATACTATAAAGCTACTACACATTTATACTATAAATGTATAATCAAAACATCATGGTACTGGAATAAGTAAGACTGTCTGACCAAGGGGTTAGAACTGAGAGTCCAGAGATAAACCTGCTTGGAACATGAAGTGAGCAAGGAAAGCATCACTAACAAAAGATGCTGAGAAAACTAGATAATGCATGAGGAAGAGAAAGAGGAAGAGAGGAAAGAGGGGAGGAGGGAGCAAGGAGGCCAGGGAGGAGGGAGGGTGGATGGAAGGATGAAGGAAGGGAGGGTTTAATGAAAGAGGGCAGATGGAAAGGAGGGAGGAAGAGAGGGAGGGAGGGATTTGAGGGCCGGGTAGTACAGGGATTTAGGTGCTTGTCTTGCACATGGCTAACTCTGATTCAATCCCTGGAACTACATATGGTCACCCGAGTTCTGCCAGGAGCACAGACTCAGAAGTAAGCACTAGGTTCAGTTAAGTGCAATTCAAAAGCAAAAATTAAAAACAATTTGATCCATATTTCGCACCATATAATTAATTCAAAGTTGACTTTTGAGGGGTAGGAGTAATAGCACAGCAGGCAGGGCGTTTGCCTTGCACGCAGCTGACCCAGGTTCAATTCCCAGCATCCCATATGGTCCCCTGAGCACCGCCAGGAGTAATTACTAAGTGAAGAGCCAGGAGTAACCCCTGTGCATTGCCAGGTGTGACCCAAAAAGCAAAAAGCAAAAAAAAAAAAAAAGTTGACTTTGAATCCATAAAATATAAAGAAGAAAATACAGGCAGAACACTCCAGAATCTAGACTTCACAGTGTTTTTAATATTTGATCATACTGGCAAAGATAAAGAAGACAACATTAAATTTAAAAGTTTTTACATGATTACTGGGCTGCACAGATAGTAAGGTAGGCAAAGCACTTTTCTTCACATGCCAACCCAGGTTCAATCCCCAGCAACCAATATGGTCCCCAAATCCTCCAGGAGTGATCTCTGAGCCCAGAGCCAGGTAAGCCCTGGGCATCACTGGGTTTGGCTCAAAAAATAAATAAATAAAAGTTTCTACGTCTGGCAAAAGATACTCAGGCTTAAAAAAAAAAGACACCTTAATGAATGAGAAGGGGTCTATGTAAATACATCAGACAAAGGACTAATAGCTGATGGACATTTAGACTGTAGGGGCTTGAGAGATAGTATATGAGTTAAAGCACTTGTCTTGCATGCAGCTGACTTCAGGTTTAATCCCCAGCACAACACCCCATCACAACCAGGAGTAATCCCTGGGCACAGAGCCAGTAGTCAGCCTGAGAGCACTATCAAGTGTGGTCAAAAATAAAAATCTTGACCTAGGACAAAGAATGTGGTGTGAGTCCTCGGCCCACATGTCAGGCACCCCACCCCACCCCCTCTGCTGGGTGAGGCCCAGTATCACCCAAGCACCACCAGGTGACTCCCAAAACAATTTAATATTTCCTTAACGTTAATAAATAAGAAAGAAAAACTTGAGATCCTAAAGCTAGTTTAGAACTCTGGCTTAAGGATATTTTGTTAATGAATAAAAAAACACTGTAAATTATAAAATTTTACCTCTTGCTTCATCCTTTAACCTCTGTACAGAAACCAACAAAGACTCCTTTTCATCAAGTTCACTTTCTAAAAACGCATTTCGTTCAATGGCCTGATTTAGCCTTTGTTCAAAGTCTTCCAATGAAACTATCGTTGCCCTAAAAAAAATAAATAAATAAATAAAAAAGAATTGATGAATTAAAAAATAATGAGCATGCAAATAAAAACAACAAAGAGATATCATCTTACACCACAGAAACTGGCACACATCAACAAAAAACAAGAACAATCAGTGCTGGAGTGGATGCGGGGAGAAAGGGATTCTCTTTCATTTGTTGGTGAGAATGCTGACTGGTTCAGCCTTTTTGGAAAACAATATGGACATTCCTCTAAAAACTAGAAACTGAGCTCCCATATGACCCAGCAATACCACTTCTAGGAATATATCCCAGGATGCAAAAAAACACAGTAGAAATGACATCTGCACTTGTATGTTTATTGCAGCACTGTTCACAATAGCCAGAATCTGGAAACAACCCAAGTACCTGAGAACAGATGACTGATTAAAGAAACTCTGGTACATCTACACAATGGAATACTATGCAGCTGTTAGAAAAGATGAAGTCATGAAATCTGCTTATAAGTGGATAGACAAGGAGAGTATCTTATTAAGTGCAATGAGTCAGAAAGAGAGGGAAAGACAAAGAATGATTGCACTTATTTATGGAATATAGCACTGCACTATAGCACTGTCCTCCCGTTGTTCATCGATTTGCTCAAGCGGGCCCAGTAATGTCTCCATTGTGAGACTTGTTGTGACTGTGTTTGGCATATTGAATACGTCACAATAGCTTTCCAGGCTTTGCCGTGTGGGCGAGATACTCTCGGTAGTTTGCCAGGTTCATAATATGAGACTAACACCCAAGGACAATAGAGACAAGGGCCAGGAAGACTGCTCCATGGTTGGAAGCCTCTTTTAAGAGCTGGGGGAGAAAACAACTGGGTTAGAGAAGGGATCACTAAGTCAATGATGGTTGGAGGGATCGCTAGGATGGGAGGTGTATGCATAAAGTAGACTAAGGACAAACATTATGGCCTCCCAATATCTGTATTGCAAACCATAATACCCAAAACTAGAGAGAGAGGGCTGGAGCAATAGCACAGCAGGTAGGGCATTTGCCTTGCAGGTAGCCGACCCAGGTTCAATTTCCAGCATCCCATATGGTCCCCCAAGCACCACCAGGAGTAATTCCTGAGTGCATGAGCCAGGAATAACCCCTGTGCAGCGCCGGGTGTGACCCAAAAAGCACACACACACAAAAAAAAGAAAAACCGAGAGAGAGTAAGTAGGAAGGTGCTTGGCACAGTGGCAGGGGGTGGGATAGAGTAGGGCTGGTGAGAGGGACACTGGGAACATTGGTGGTAGAAAATGCATGCTGTTAGAGGGATGGGTGTTCGATCATTGTATGACTGAAACTCAATCATGAAGGCTTTGTAACTTTATCTCATGACGATTTCATAAAAAAAATTTTAAATAATAATGTGCTATTTTATATATGCATATACATAAACATATATATGTATATGTATATATGCATATACATATATATACACATACAGTTGATCAAGGGCTGGAGCAATAGCACAGCGGGTAGGGCGTTTGCCTTACACGCAGCCAACATGGTCGACCTGAGTTTGATTCCTCCGCCCCTCTCGGAGAGCCCAGCAAGCTACCGAGAGTATCTCGCCTGCACGGCAGAGCCTGGCAAGCTCCCCGTGACGTATTCGATATTCCAGACACAGTAACAAGTTTCACAATGTTACTGGGCCTGCTCGAGCAAATCGATGAACAACAGGAGGACCGTGACTAATAGCTGATCAAAAGAAAACAAAGTTTATCTTATGCCATTTTCTGACCTAGAAAAGCCTGGTCCAGTTGAAAGAGAATGACCCCACCCATTTCAGAGGGATTTGGCATCTGCTACTATTTGGGTCCATTCAGTCTATTCTTTTATCTTAAACTCCTAATCTCTAAATTTCCTCCAAGAAAGAACACTTACCCAATTTCTATCTCTCCACTGGATTTTAAATACAATTCGTTTTCAACAGTTTTACAGATATAAAAGTTTAAACACAAAATGACAGGTCCCGCTCCATTTTCTTCCTTTCTGCCAATCATTTTCCCTGAATTTTGTGTCTTTAACAAATACAAACACGTATCCACTATGTGCCTCCTACCCTTCTACCACTACATACTAGCTGCTGTAGAAATTAAAATTTCCTAGTCTTAAAACAATTTTTTGTTGCTTGCCTGGTTTTGGTTTTGGTTTTGGAGCCACTCAAGGCTATGCTCAGGGATTACCCCAGGCTCTGCATTCAGAGATCAGTCCTAGTGGGATCAGGAAACATGTGAGGTGCCAGGGATCGAACCTGGGTCCAGCAGCATGCAAGACAAACGCCTTACCCACTGTACTGTGCAGCCCCTGTGGCCTCAAATTTCAAATTTTAGTGCTATGTCCTGTTTTTGTCAAGTCCGGTCAACTCCAAAAATGCTTCTCAATTCTATTTCCTCTCCTCAGCCTTTAGTCCTTGGTTTATTAATATCATCCAACATTTCTCCTACACGGTATTCACATCTCTTCCCAAATTTTAATTAGTATTATATTCTCACATCAAATTCTGATATTATTATTTTGTTTTATAATTTTTTAAATAGCATTCACCTCACCAATTATTTTCAAATCCAGCATACAAGGTTGTTGGCCCCAAATTTTTACCGCTAATTCCTTCCAGTCTCATGTCATTCAGCCATTCACTGATCAAAGTGGAAAATTAGTAACTCATGATATTTTCCTATTTCTGTCCTTTGCATCTTTATCTCTACCAGTTTAACTTCCACATGTCTTTGAAAACTCAGCTTCAGTTATCTTTAAGCTTCCTTAATGCCCCAGGACATTTCAGCTACTTCTTTCTCTTTGCTCAGGAATAGTGTACAGACTCTTTTCACTAGAGTATTTATCACTGTATTAAATTGCTAACTGTTACACCCAAGGGCACCCGGGTCAGAAACACCCTACCACTGTGCTATCCTCCGCCCCTCTCGCCCCTCTCGGAGAGCCCAGCAAGCTACCAAGAGTATCTCACCCGCACAGCAAAGCCTGGCAAGCTACTCGTGATGTATTCAATATGCCAAACACAGTAACAACAGGTTTCTCAATGGAGATGCTACTGGGCCCGCACGAGCAAATCGATGAATAACGGGAGGACAGTGCTACAGTGTACACCCAAGAGCAGGAGGCAGCTTATCTTTGTTTTATTTTTTTTGGTTTTTTGGGGTTTTTTGTGGGTTTTGGGTCACACCCAGCGATGCACAGGAGTTACTCCTGACTCATGCACTCAGGAATTACTCCTGGAGTTACTGGGGGACCATATGGGATGCTGGGAATCAAACCCAGGTTGGCTGCATGCAAGGCAAATGCTCTACCTGCTGTGCTATCACTCCAGTCCTGGAAGCGTATCTTTGTATCCTCAACTCTGACATCCTATCTGGCATTCACAATCACTCAATAAATATTAAGGGAAAAAAATACCAGACAGTAACTGTAATGTTATATAATTAGGATTGGAATGGTTAATAAAATTTGATTGTGCTCACTCCAGCAGCACATATACTAAAATTGGACGATACTGAGAAGATTAGTATGGCCCTGCCCAAGGATGACACGCAAATTCATGAAGTGTTCCAAACATTTAAAAAAAAAAAAAGAAAAACCTAATTACATATAAGTAAATATGAAAGCTTGGCAACTATGGACTGCCAAGTAAAAGCAAACCACTATGGACTGCTCTTTAATTTTGAGACAGAAAAGAAATACAGATAGTCCTTTTCAAACTGCAGAATTCAGATATGAGATGAGAGGACCTACAAAAGTACAGTAGTGCTGAAAACAGAAGCAAGGGCAGATAAATGAGTAAGACATATTTTAAAGAAAAACTAGCAAAAATGGCATATGAAAGAAGGGGAAATGGAAGAATACACCTCAGGGGTGAAGGGGGGAGGGGTTTTAACATTAATTCACTTCACTTATTCTAGGTGATAACATGTCTAAACACATATTTTACCGCTAATTGACAACCTTGGTTTTTTCTGCAAAGTGCACATCATTTACTTACCGTTTAGCTCGCTCCAGGTCATCATTAGCCTGCTCCAGCTCTCTCACATATTTATGCAACTGCTCTTTAATGGCCCGAGTCTGACTTAAATCGTCTTCTAATACTGAAACCTGCTTATAGCTCTGTGCATATTGATGTTCTAGTTTTTCCTGAAAGTGGGCAGAGGAAGGAAAGTATATGTCATAATGTATAATTTTCTTTAAAAAAGAATGTAAACCATGTTAAAGAGAGGGGGATCCAAAAAATTTACCCACAATCTGAATGCTAACATCCCTTTTTCCTTTCAACAATGTAAGTTTCATCCCAAGCATTTTAATTCATATATAACTTAGATGTTCAACCATTCTCCTCTCAGAGAGCAAGCTAATAATAATCTTTGAAAAGAAGAAAAATAATGAAACTTGCCTCAAAAAAACAAACATGGTAGGGGAACAGCTAGGTGGATTATCAGGCTGAATAAAGCAGAGGGAACGCGCAAAGAGTTTTCCCTACGCTGTCACCCAGAGTTTAAATTCCCTACCCATACATGCCTATCTCCATGTTCCCCATATTTACCCACTCCCCGGACCCAGAAATATCTTCAGACTAAGCCAGGTGGTGATAGACAGCAGCAAAACAAATTAATCTCCAGGGAGAGCACAAGGCAGAGTCTCCTACCCTGTGCCTGACTGTCCTCGCCAGGGCCCAACAGCTGAAGACCTCCAGGCCCCAGCCAAGGCCATACTGGGACCACTCTCCACACACTTGGATGAGCCTCGCGCATAACAGAACTGGCAGAGGAACCCAGGTGTGTGGGACCTGGGGCTGAGATCTCCAAGCCTGCACGGTTTGGGACTGGACCTGTCAGTAGCTAGACAGTTACACCCTCCAACTGCCGTGTAACCCCAACAATGGCCAGGATCCAGAGATTATCACAACAAGCTCTCGGGAGCGCGCGGCCACGAATGCCGCGACTATTTATTTACTTTTCTCTAAGTTTTCAGGGTACCTTTAAATATCCCACCCGCACGGCAGAGCCTGGCCAGCTATCCATGGTCTATGCCAAACAGACCAAATTGATATGCCAAATCCAGTAATAAATGGATCTCATTCCCCTGACCCTGAATATGGCAGAGTCGAGAAGGATGTGGAAGGAGAGGCTGATAAAATCCCAAGGCAAAAATAGGCTGCCAAAACGAATAAAGACAAAAATGATTGTCTGTACTTTTAATGCTCGTACGCTGGCATCTGCTGCATCCATTGAAGACCTGATGGTACAAGCACGAAAGATCAAGTACAACATAATTGGTCTGACCGAGACGAGAAGACACCAATCACATCACGCCGCTTTCGACACTGGAGAAGAACTGTTCCTTGGAACATGTGATAAAAGAGGCGTCGGTGGTGTCGGTATCCTTGTCAACACAAACTTAGCCACGAGCATTGATTCATTCGAATGCCTAACAACCCGAATCGGACAATTACACTTGAACAGATGTGGCTCACTACCGGCAGTTTCTATCTTTGTTGTCTATGCACCAACATCCAGTTATGGTGAAAGAGAAACTGAGAAGTTCTACATGGAGCTGGAGAAGTTCTATAAAGAAGATCACACCTTCTACAAGATCATTGTCGGTGATTTTAATGCCAAGATAGGATCAAGAAGATCAGCCAATGAACTCCACATCGGGACCCAAGGCCTAGATGGAACGAACAGGGTGACAGACTGTCTGAGTTCATCATGTCAACCAAGACCTTCCATGGTAACTCACAGTTCCAAAAGGCTGAATCTAAACGTTGGACATGGGAGTCTCCCGATGGACGGTTCCACAATGAAATAGACCACATCATATTCAATCGGCGGTTTTGCCTAACCCATGTTGCTGTTGTCCCAAAATTCCAAACGGGATCAGACCACCGTCTCCTTTGTGCAAAATTCTACCTCACAGAACAAGGAGAAAAGAATGCAAGGTTTAAGAAGAGGGTACCAGAACAACCACCAACTGGGAGCTCTTTGGCTCTGTTGCGGCAACATGGGAAGATGCCGTCATTGACAACATTGATGAGGAATACGATCGAATGATTCAGCACCTCCATGATTGTGCGAGGAATGCCAAGAGAGAGATAACCACAAAAAAACGCCTTTCTTCGAACACTCTTGAACTTATTCGCCAACGTGGCTTGGCACATGCCTCAGGCAACCACAAGCGAACATCCGAACTGGCAAAACAGTGCAGAGAAGCCATCAAGGATGACCTCAAAAACAGGAGAGCAGCAGTACTGGTAGATGCGGCAGAAGCTGGGAAAAGCATTCATAATGCCCACCTGTTCTTCACCAACTACAAGACCAAGATGACTGCCCTCCGACATCATGATGGATCTATCACATCTTCCAGAAGGGCAATGGAGAAGATTATGCATGACTTCTACTCAGATCTCTTTAATAGCCACGTCCAATTGCCCACATACTACATTCCACATGATGGATATGTCATTCCCAATGTTCTCCCTTCCGAAATCCAACATGTCATCTCGTCGGTAAAGAAACAAAGAGCACCTGGCCCAGACGAGATCAGACCTGAACACCTGAAGAACTTACCATCAGTACTCATCAATACACTGGCTCGGCTCTTCACACGCTACCTGTCTGAATGCAAGGTTCCATCCCAATGGAAAACCAGCGGGACTGTACTACTATACAAGAAGGGAGACATCCACAACATTGGCAACTATCGCCCAATCTGCCTATTGTCTGTCATCTACAAACTGTTCACTCAAGTCATCCTGAATAGGATTAGCAGAACACTAGATGAAGGACAACCATGTGCACAAGCCGGATTCCGAAAAGGATTCAGTACCATCGACCATATCCACACGATTACTAAGCTCATTGAGGTTTCTCGGGAGTTCAAGATGCCGCTCTGTCTAACGTTCATTGATTTAAAGAAGGCCTTTGATTCTGTTGAGACGGAAGTGGTCATGGAAGCTCTAGCCAATCAGGGCGTACAAACTCAATACATCAGGATCCTTCGTGAGCTGTATTGCGGATTCACTACCAGGATCTCACCATTCTACAAAGAAGTAATCATCCATATCAAGAGAGGGGTTCGGCAGGGTGATACCATTTCACCAAAACTCTTCAGTGCCACCCTCGAGAACATCATGCGACGAATGGAATGGGAAAGCATGGGAGTGAAGATAGATGGTCGGCAACTACACCATCTCCGCTTTGCTGATGACATTGTTCTAATAACACCAAACATCAGCCAAGCGGCACAAATGCTGAACGACTTTGACCGTGAATGTGGAAAGGTCGGACTACAGCTGAATCTTACGAAGACAATGTTTATGAGAAACAGCCTTTTTCCTGACGCTCCATTCACTCTCAACGGAACCACCATCTCCGAATGCAAGTTATATATACCTAGGTCGAGAAATCAACATGATGAATGACCTGGCACCTGAGTTGCGCAGGAGGAAGAGAACGGCTTGGAATGCCTTCTAGAGCATTGAAGAAATAACTAAAAGGACAAAGAACCTCCAGCTACGAGCACATCTCTTTGATTCCACTGTTCTTCCTGCATTAACATATGCCTCAGAGACCTGGACCCTACGAAAACAGGATGAGAACGCTATTCGGGTCTCTCAAAGAGGAATCGAAAGAGCTATGCTTGGAATATCACGATTCACTCAAATGAGAGATAGAATCCGGAGTTCTGATCTTTGTCAACGCTCAAGAATCAGGGATGCTGTCTCATTTGCCAAGGCATCAAAAATCAGATGGGCTGGACACGTAAGGAGGTTTACAGACAACCGCTGGACTAGAGCCATTACTGACTGGATTTCACGGGACATCAAAAGATCACGTGGACGCCCACCTACAAGATGGTCAGACTTCTTCGTCAAGACCCTGAATGATCGGTTTGAGGCTCTGCATGTTCCTAGAACGAACAGATACCATTGGGCTATGCTAGCACGCAACCGGGATGAATGGAGATGTTACTGGCACCTGCTCGAGTAAATCGATGAATACCGGGGATTAAGTGATTAAATGATTAAGTGATTTTGCTGACAACTCCTTTTTCAAGGTAAATGACCCAAATTACACTTGAAAATTGAAAGGAGACACCCCATAGCTGTCACCACATAAACTACCCAGCTTCACAGCTTCACGACTAATCTCAGAGATGATGCCAAGCCAAGCTGATGAAAACTCACCAGTGCACCAGTCAGCAGGTTGAAAACTCTGGGTCATCCTGGGAAGAAGGGCAAGCCAAGTCCCCATTCTAGTGACGCCCCAGTGGCCGTACCCACACCCTGAATCTGCCACAATGTAAGCAGCCCAGCTTCACAGCTTTGCAACTAATCTCTGAGGAGATACCAAGCCAAAGAAACACGTGGAAACATGGGCCTTTGGGGCTGAAAACTCTGGGGATCCTTGAGAGGGAAGCAGGACAAGTATCATCCCCATTCTACAGATCCTGGAGCTCCTAGAGCATACAGTCACATATGTGGTAGCATTATACCTCCAAATTCCACAATACTGACACAACAGCCCAATAGGAGAACTGCAAAGTAGAAGAGAAAGTAGCATAGAATCTAAGCTCAGTAAGCAAAAACAATAAATAACACAAGGCTCAGCTAGCAAAATACACCTCAGTAAATCCTCAATGACTTTATTAAAGTTATTAACACCACTGTGAAATATAACAATTTTCACAAACTTTTTTCTACTAATTTTTTTTTAAACTCCACTTACCGTTTTATTGTAACAATATAAAATAAGTTATTCTGACTTCCTGACCGAGGTGCCCTCCAGCACCTGGCCAAAAGGGACTACTACAAGTCTCAGACGTGTGTCAGATGTGAACTGCTGGCCCCAAGCAGACATCGAAGCGGTCCCTCCCCCCAGGTTTTTTTTTCCCCTTTTCCCAGTGCTTTGGACTCACATCTCAGCCTCCATTACCTAATTATGACGAGAACAACTTGGTTATCCCAAACACATTAGACCAATAGTCCACTAGCCTATTCCAATCAAAATACTCCCAAAACTTAGCAAAATAATGGTGAACACAAAGAAACTGAACAAACCTAATGTAAAAGAACACATTCCCTAAAGCTGCACTAGTGGCCTCACATAAGGCACAGAGGAGCACCAAAGAGCATTCTTAAAGCATTCTAGATGAGCCCATCAACTGAGCCCCTCTAGAATCCACCCGTGAAGCAAGAGGGGGTCACTGATAGTGAACTGGAGGGACCGGCCCCAATACTACCACAGCAACATGAAGAAACAGCACAGATCCCCACCATGAGTAACGGATGAAGAGCCCTGAAGCCTCAACAGGGAATACCCACAAATACAATCTCTCCAATAAAGAATTCAGAGATGAAATGTTGAGGCTGTTCAATGAGCTAAAAGAAATGGTGGAACAGGCCTCCAGTGAATTAAAGGAGGACATGAAAGAAACAATGGGATGGACAGCCAACAAAATACAGGAAGAAATGAAAGTAGAAATAAGAAAGCTACAAACAGAAGTGTCACTAATAAAGGATTCAGCAGATGAAATTAAAAACTCAGTGGGTGCCCTCAACAGTAGAATGACAATGGCCAAAGACAGAATCAGAAAGTCTGACGATGAGCTGTAGAAAGCATACAGGGAGCATCATACAATGGAAAAAGACGTCAAAATAGCTGTAGGGTGTTCACTTCAGCAGCACATATACTAAAATTGGAACGATACAGAGAAGATTAGCATGGCCCCTGCGCAAGGATGACACACAAATTTGTGAAGCGTTCCATATTTAAAAAAAAAATAGCTGTAGGCTGAATCAGAGACCTAGGAGATGAATTCAAGAGGAATAACACAAGAATCAACAGAGTACCAGAACAACAGGAAGGTAACCCCAATGAAGTAGCAATAGTTAAAGATATCACTGCTGACAAATACCCAGAGCTGAAGAATGAAAGCATCCAGATCTAAGGAGCTTGCAGGGTACCAGCTAAAAGAGACCCTAATAAAAAGACTCCAAGACATATCATAATCAGAATGATGGATAGCACAGATACAGACACAACACTGCAAGGTCAAAGAAGAAAATCACACACAAAAGAACACCCCTTGGATTTATAGCAGACTTAACAAAGGAAATTGTCCGAGCCCGAAGACAATGGTGGGATATAGTGAAAAAACTCAATGAAATGAATGCCTCATGAATAACACTTTATCCGGCTAAATTCTCACTCAAACTCAAAGGAACAATACACTATTTCATGGATAAACAACAGCTCAGGAACTTTATAGACTCAAAACCAACCTTAAAAGAAGGACTAAAGGGGCTACCATAAGACAAGACAAACCCCTACAAGCACAACAAACCTCTACAGAAAGATGGCACAAAACCCCATGACAAAAATCTCTCTCAATGTCAATGGTCTAAATGCACCAATTAAGAGACAGAGAGTGGCAAAATGGATTCAAAAACTGAACCCAACATTCTGCTGCCTACAAGAAACCCATCTGAATAGTCAGAGCAAACAGAGACTCAAAGTCAAAGAATGGAAAACAATCCTACAAGCAAACAGCTCACTACAAAGAGCTGAGGTGGCCATACTTTAGTATCCAACAACATAGATTTCAGGCTGAAAAAGATTAGAAGGGACACCAAAGGCAATTTTTCAACAATCACGGAAAATGTGCATCAGGAAAAAAATCACATTCCTAAACATATACGCACCCAATGAGGGACCAGCAAAATACTTAAAACAACTAATAGATTTCAAGGAGGACATTGGTAGCAACACAATAGTAGTCGGAGACTTCAACACCGCCCTATCACCTCTTGATAGATCAGCAAGACTAAAACTCAGCAAGGAAGTACTGGCTTTAAAGGAAGAAATAGAAGAGAAAGGGCTAAGTGAAGTGAGTCAGAAAGAGAGGGATAGAGTGCACTCATTTGTGAATTATAAAGTAACATAATAGGAGATTAACACCTAAGGACAGTAGAGTTAAGGGTCAGGAGGATCGCTCCACGGCTTGGAAGCAGGTCTCACGTGCTGGGGGAAAAGGCAGATGGGATGGAGAAGGGACCATTAAGTAAATGATGGTTGAAGGGCTCGCTTAGGATGGTAGATGCCTGCTGAAAGTAGACTATGAACCAAACATGATGGCCGCTTAGTACCTGTATTACAAACCATAACAACCAAAAGGAGAGAGTAAGAGAAAATGTGCCTGCCACAGAGGTGTGTGTGTGTGGGGGGGGGGGGGGGGATGGCAGGAGGGATATTGGGAATATTGATGGTGGAGAATGGGCACTGGTGGAGAGATGAGTACTTGAACATTGTATGACTGAAACATAATCACAAAAGTTTGTAAGTCTGTAACGGTATCTCATGATGAATCATTAAAATAAAATTTTTTAAATAATAGCATTCTGATCCTCTACATCACTGATCATCAGGAAGATACAGATCAAAACAACAATGAGATATTATCTCATACCACAGAGACTGGCCCACATCCAAAAGAACAAAAGCAACTGGTGTTGGTGCGGATGTGGCGAGAAAGGGACCCTCCTTCACTGCTGGTGGGAATGCCAACTGGTTCAGCCCCTTTGGAAAACAATATGGATGATTTTCAAAAAATTAGAAATTGAGCTCCCATTTGACCCAGCAATACCACTCCTGGGAATATATCCCAGAGAGGCAATAAAGTATAGTCGAAATGACATCTGCACTTCTATGTTCATTGCTGCACTGTTCACAATAGCCAATATCTGCAAAAATTCCGAGTGCCCGAGAACAGGTGACTGCTTAAAGAAACTTTGATACATCTACACAATGGAATACTATGCAGCTGTTAGAAATGATGAAGTCATGAGATTTGCAAACAAGTGGTTCTACATGGAAAGTATCATGCTTAGTGAAATGAGTCAGAAAGAGAGGGACAGACATAGAAAGACTGCACTTATCTGGGGACTATAAAGTAACAGAATGGGAGACAAACACCCAAGAATAGTTGAGGTAAGTACCAGGAGGTCTGCTCCACAGCTTGGAAGCCAGCAGCACATGCTGGGGGGGGGGGGGGGGGGGGGAGGGGGGCGGGGATCAGATAGAGAAGGGAACACCAAGTAAAGGATGTTTGGAGGACTCACTCAGGATGCAAGATGCATGCTTAAAGTAGACTACAGACCACACATGAGGGCCACTCAATACCTCCATTGCAAACCACAACACCCTAAAGGAAAGAGAGAATGAAAGGGAATTCCCCGCCACAGAGGTGGGGCAGGGTAGGGGGAGTGGGAGGGGGGTGGAAGGGCTACTGGGTTCATTGGTGGTGGAGAATGGGCATTGGTGGAGGGATGGGTACTTGATCATTGTATAACTGAAACCCAAACGCGAAAGTCTACAACTGTACCTCATTAAAAAATATATATATTCTTCTGTGCCTGCCAAGGGAACAAACTTAGGGGGTAGGTGGCAAACAGGACAATGGTAGAGGGACCTGTGTAGTGATACTGAATGCCTGAAACAACTGTACTATGAACCACTTTGTAAACCACAATGTTCAAATAAAATTTTTAAAAAAATTGAAGGGACTATGAACAACAACAAAAAAAGTATTATTTCATACAAATATAATGTCAAAAAACAACAGCTATGAGAATTATAGGAATTGTGTCTGCCTTGCACGCAGCCAATCTGCCTACCCAGGTTCAATTCTTCTACTCCTTTCGGAGAGCCCGGCAAGCTACCGAGAGTATCTCGCCCGCACGGCAAAAGCCTGGCAAGCTACCTGTGACATATTTGATATGCCAAACACAGGAACAACAAATCTCACAATGGAGACGTTACTGGGTCCACTTGGGCAACTCAATGAACAATGGGAGGACAGTTCTACAGTGCATTACTACATTTAATATTATGGATAGGAAATCTATAGTGAAATTTTAAACACTATAACTAAACTCTAAACTACCTTTCTCAGGGCCAGAGTGATAGTACAGCAGGCAGGGCATTTGCCTTGCACTCCACAGACCCAATTTGGATCCCCAGCACCACACGTGGTCCTTGGAGCCTGACCAGTAAGCTCTGAAAATTGCCAGGTGTAGCCAGCAATCAATCAATCAATAAAGCGATAAAAAATCAACCACCTCTTAGTTCCATGAAAGAAAAGATTTCAGTAATTCATTTTGAGGCTGGAGATGTGGTTCAAGTGATAGAGCACATGTCCTGCATATGTCCTGGATTTGAGCCCTAGCACCACGAAATACCCTTTAACAATTCAAGATATGAACCGAAATTAAAAAATTTAAAATTCACTGTGATTTTATACTTTGTTGTTACCTACTGCTCCTAAGTCACTTTAATTTATGTACTGGTTTTAACAAACCCAAAATATTTAGGTCCCTAGATCTACTGCCATAATTACCTTTAATGTTTCCACTTCATATTTCAGTCTTTGGTTGTCAGCTTGCAAGTCTCTATTTCTTTGTTCAGCCTGTACTAATTGTGCTTCCAACTCAGCTTCTAATTCTCTGCTTCCCTCCTGGAATTCAACTAGTTCATCCCGAGCTTCCTGGAAGCTACTCGGAAACAAAATGGAAAAGATAAGCTATATCAGGAATCATAAGGATCATCTTGAAGCTAATTATATCCACTCAATAATTTCTGCCTGAATTTTTGCTGAAGCTATCATAAAGTATAGCAAACAATAAAGACAACTGCTCTGTCTCTTACTATATATGTTGAGGTCAATGGAAAATTTTATAGGACCAGAGAGATGGTCTAAACTGGGGTTAACTCCCTTGCAAGCAGTCAACTCCAGTTTGACCTAGGCATAACATATGGTACCCCAAACATTGCTAAGAGTAACCCCTAAGCAGAGTTAGTAAAAAGCCCTAAGCACTGCTGGATGTGACCCAAAGCATCCTGCTCCCCCCAAAAAAGAAAAGAAAATACATTAAAAGCCCCCAAAGAACACATATCTTAAAATTACTCATCCCTTAGATCTTTAAGGGGCTAATTAGAAAATAGGTTATTAAACCACAAATCTGTTTAATATTTAAATGTGTTTTCGAATATAATTGGTTTCCTCTTTAATGCTAATATTTAAATTTAAGTATTTAAAAACAATATTCTGGGAAGGGATCCATAGGGACCTACAGAAATCCCCAGACTACTCAGGTATCTATAGCACAAAAATATGAAGAATTCCTGTCAGAAACACACATTTTCTATATCCACCAACACAAAATAGTAAACAGCTTGAAAATAGTAAACGGCTTGAACAGTAATGACAAACTAGCAATCAAGTGTTCAGTAAGGTAAGCTTAAACAGATTCTGTTAAGCAAAGTAGAAAGAACCATGTTTTAAATTCTTTTTTTTTTCAATTTTAAGACAAGTTTTGGTGCCCAAAGGTTACTATCCAAAAGGCTTTCCAGGTAATTAAAACGTCCCATATGGCTCTCATGATATTCAAAATGAGCAAAGGACAATAAATGATCTAGCATCTGCCACTGGCAGGTAGGCTTGAATGGTGGTGGGAAATTTCGAGCAAAACATAATGCCCAAAGTGAGAGAGAGAGTATTGGGGAAACTGTCTGCCATAAGGTAGGATGAGGACAGTAATGTGGGTGGTAGAAAATGTGGTCTGGTGGAGGGATGGGTGTTCCATCATTGTATAGCTGAATCTCAAAGATGAAAACTTTGTAACTGTATCTCATGGTGATACAATTTAAAAAAAATAAAAATAAAAAGTGATGTGGAGTTCATGTCCAATTTAATCCGCCTTCAAAATCTCCAAAGCTCTTCTTTCTTCATTGAAGCTTTGTTCACTCCAGACATTACTAAGGCTTGCTTGAAAAGAACTCAAGTTTGCTAGAAGGGGCACTATCTCCAAAAGACCACAACTCAAGGCTGAAATCAATGCAGTCAGCCGAAACAGCCAAGTGTGGTAATAAGGATAAAGGAAGCAAAACGCCAAAAGAAATCATAAGAGGCATCAAATTTGCTTACTATTTTATAAATTTAAGTATTTATGACATTTTCTGCTCTTTATAGACAGTGCTATAAGCAATGTTATGACTTTTTCTAGAACCCCAATGCTAGCTCTGAAACCCTATAAGTTAGGTGTTTTGTTTTTTTTTAATGCACATGCTAAACACAATGCATTTTAAAAGCTCTCCCCTATTTTTAAGATGTTTTCCAATATTACCTTTGTTTATATTTCAAGGAAAGTTCCTTCCAATAAGCAGTTTCTTCCTTTAAACTTGAAAAATCTGGTATAGCCTCACCATCCATGATCAAGAAGTCACCTGTGAAATATAAAGACACAATTTTCCAAATGAAAAGAAAATAGCAGTTTCAGGACTGATCTTGAAGAGACACTGTCTGCAGAGTTATCCTAGGAAGGCCCATCCACCACCAGGTAAAGATCTCTGAACCCTAGGTGGAATGGGGACAGACCAGGTCACTGTCCTGCCAAAGGCCCAAGGTACCACCCACATACATGCAGCTCCCACACTTCCACAGAAACAGCCCAGCTTCAGGAATCACCTCAAAGAGATGCTGGCAGCTGAGTTATCCCAAGAAGGCCCAGCTGCCACCAGGCCCAGATCTCCGGATTCTAGGTGAGATGGGGCAGACCAGGTTCCCACCCTGCCAAAGGCCCCGTGCTCTCCACCCACCCATCTGGCTCCCCCCACTGCCAGAGAAGTGGACCAGCTTCAGGACTGATTTCAGAGAGATGCCAGAGCGACACCTACACCGTCCCAACCTCAAAGCCCCTGAAGCGTGGAGTCACAAATATGGCTGCACAACACCTCCAAACTTCACAGAGCTGACAGCCCAGGGAAAACAAGAAAATCAGAAGGGAAACTGAATAGAAGTTCACTGACTCAATGAGTGAAAACTAACACAGAAGGCTCAACTTTTACCTAACAGCTCAGTAAATCCTCAGGCCATAACTTTAGCAACATCATTATTCTATAATAAGGTAAAGGTAAAGGCCCTCCCGTTGACCGTCGATTTGCTCGAGCGGGCCCAGTAACGTCTCCATTGGAGACTTTGTTGTTACTGTGTCTGGCATATCGAATACTCTCGGTAGCTTGCCGGGCTCTCCGAGAGGGGCGGAGGAATTGAACTCGGGTCGGCCATGTTGGCCGCTTGTAAGGCGAACGCCCTACCTGCTGTGCTATCGCTCCAGCAATATAATAAGAACCTACTAAGGAAGAAGGCCGGGGGTGGAGTTAAGGGTACATTATTGGTGGGATTGTTGCTAAAATATTGAATATCTGAAACAACAGTATTGTGAAAAACTTTGTAAATCAAGGTGTTTAAATAAAGTTTTTTTAAAAAATTTAAATAAAGAATACAGGAACCTAAATAAAAGCATAAAATCTTGGACAATATTAAGTGTAGAGCATTTTAGATGAAGTTAAACGTAAAAACACCAAAGAGTTGCTATTATAACCCAGGCATGTATAAATTATTTTTTTCCCATTCTCAAGGACCACCAATATAAGATGATCAAGATTAAAAAAAGGCCATCGATACAGTCCTTTGGTAAAATCCACTGAACATAGGTTCTGGGTGAACTGGCTACATGAAATTACACTGCAAAGAGGGTTCCAGAATTGGGATATGGTGCCTCCAGCAGGTCAATCTGTACCTGTGAGGCGAGTGCATCAGCAGCCTGATGGTGCCTTCAGACTTCTAGATACCCCAAAATTGCTGCTGTGCCTTTGGCCAGACCCCAACAACTTGGGGCAAAGTTTACCAAGAAAGTAAGCGGCCAAAATTTAGGTATGTGGGAGACACACCCACAAACCACCTCCGGCTCAGCTATATAATTGGAGGCATGGCCTCTCTGGTTCCTGATCAAACTGCTTAACGGCTATGATCCCAGAGACTCAGAAACAAATCTCGGAACCCAGTGGCATTGGGCAGAAATGTGTCCAGTCCCCGCAGTAGGTTACTGGCTCCAGGCGACCCCAGGTAGCAATAGGTTTCGCGCCTTGGCCTATTCCCCCTGGCGGTTCAGTGGCATCCACCAAAAGCCACTGGACAGTCAGTTTTGGGCCCACAGGATGGAGGCGGGGCCTCACGGGATGGAGGTGGAACCTGCCCTTTCCTCCCGCCTCAACGAGACTCCGAGTTGCTGCCCACGAACAGCCTCTCTGATTCCTGATAAATCTGTTTAACAGCTATGATCCCAGAGACTCAGAAACAATTCTTGGAACCCAGGAACTTTTGGCAGAAATGCGTCCAGTCTCCACAGTAGGTTACCAGCACCAGGCCACTCCAGAGAGAAAGGGTGTTGTCCCTCCACCTGTTCCCCTTTGGCGGCTTGGTGGCCGCCATCCTCCAGAGCCACTGGACAGTCACATTTAAGCCCGCAGTGACAAGACGCGTGGCACCTCACAAGATGGGGGGAGCTGGCCCTTTCCTCCCTGCCCCAATGAGACCCCGAGTCACTGCCCACGAACGACTCCTAATCTGGCTCTGACTCTGACTCTGGCTTCTAATCAAGCTGCTTAATGGCCATGATCCCAGAGACTCAGGAACAAATCTCAGAACCCAGCAGGTTTTGGCAGAAATCCCTCCAGATTTAATGGTTAAAATTTTGAAATTCCAAAATATGTTATTCATAATCAGAAACAGAAAACAAATTGTCTACAGTTGCCTTTTTGGCAGATCTGAGTGTTGGAGTAAAATCCCAAATAATAATGATGGCTCTCATATCAAAATATTGAATGTAATCAAAGTAGAAAGAGAGTAATGTGGAAATCATCTGCCCCCAGGTAGAGGGAGGGTGTGGGATGGAGAGTATACTGGGGTTTTTGGTGGTGGAAAATGGGTACTGGTGAAGGGACGGGTGTTTTCATCATTATATGACCAAGACTTAAACCCAAAAGCTTTGTAACTGCTCTCATGGTAATTCAATAAATAAATTTATAAAAAGGGGGGGGGGGGAAGGTGGTTCCGGAAATTGGCTTATAGTCAAATGGTGTTCTGGGAATCAGGTGATAAGAAACAAACTTACTCTCAGAATTGCATTCCCTTCTCTGTTGTATAAAAGCTTCAAAATACCTGCTTGAATATTTTGGGCCAGGTCATTCTACTATATCAGATGTCATATTTCCAATATGACTGTTCTATCTTTAAATTTTTCCTGTATTTTAAATTACTCCATAAATTTCTCTATAAATGTCTCCATAAATCCACTGATCCCCACACACTTAACATTCTTTCACCTTGGTTCTCCCAAAAAGGAAAAAATACAAAATTCTAGATGGAGACACTAGCTCATTAGATTCCTGCTTAGAAATTTCAGTTATTGCACTTTACATCCATTCCAACAACAGTGTTCAAAACTTGCCTAATAGACCTGTTTCAGATCTGCATCTTTTTTCTACCATTGTGTCCTCTGTTCACTGTGCATTTTTCAAAGGCACTCATTTATCCTGGTTGTCATATTTTCCAGAAAACCTTTCCTGCCCTCACCCAGACAGTACTAAGGACTCCCATGCTACTGGGGGCCTCTTTATACCTGCTTTCTAGAATATACTGACCCCATAAGAATTGCTAACAACTCTGTCCCCTATTATACTACATGCTTACTTCTATCCCAGTACAATGCCTGCACTACAGCAGATTCCAAATAATATTTATTACATTAATCTGTAATTGATTCAACTTAATCCATTCTGGGCAGCAAGAAAGACAAGGGGTTTTTTTTATTAAATTTTGAGATAAGATGGTTTATAGTTATTGCCAGTGGCTTGGGAAGTGGGGAATGATGTGAGGTAACCTCAAGAAAAGCACTTTTACCTCTGTGCTCGACTCACCTAGGGAAATATCTGGCTTGGGTCAGGACTGGTAAAATCTGCTGTGATGTCCTACACAGTACAGATATTCATGTCCCACCAGCCCCACGTGGTAGCCTCAAGCTGTGATTGGAGTCCACTTGTTCTGCACATGGTGGAAATGATCCCTGACACCATACTTATTAAGAAGCCATGGACACAGGCTGGAGTAAGGACCTGCTCTTTGCAAATCTAAAATTGGCACAGGCATTCCAGGTCTGTCACCTTCCCTCGCAAAAAAGAATTTCAGAAGGAGGTGAAAGAGTGAAGCAAGATTTTTTTTTATAAAAAGACATTTACTAATTATGACGTGAGAGGAGGCATTTGTGGAATATAAAATATAATGAGACTACCACCCAGAGTAGTAGAACAGTAGAGATAGGCCAGGAAGACTGCTCCACAGTTGGGAGCCTGCCTTAAGAGCAGGGGGAGAAGGCAGCTGGGACAGAGAAGGGATCACTAAGTCAATGATGGCTGGAGGGATCGCTCCGGATGGGAGATGAGTGCTGAAAGTAGATAAAGGACCAAACATGATGACCTCTTGGTATTTGTATTGCAAAACATAATGCCCCAAAGTAGAGAGAGAATAAGAAGCAAATTGCCATAGAAGCAGGGGGATGGGGTGGGATGGGGGTTGGAGGAAGGATACTGGGGACATTGGTGGAGGAAAATGTACTGGTGGAGGGATAGGTGTTCGATCATTGTACGACTAAAACTTAAACATGAAAGCTTTGAAAGAGTAGCTCACAGTGATTCAATTTTTAAAAAAAGATGTGAGGAGAGGGGCCAGAGCAACAGTACAGCAGCAGGTGGGTGCTTCCCTTACACGCAACCAATAAAGGTTCGACCCCCTGCATGCCATATGGTCCCCCAAACCTGTCAGCAGTAATTTCTGAGTACAGAACCAGGAGTAGCTCCTAAGCATTGCCCCCACACCACCCCCCCCACACCCAAAAAAAAGAAAGAAAGAAAGAAATTGAAGTGAGGAGAGAGAAAGGAAAAAATAATGGTTCAAGAAACAAAATGAGCATGGGGAGAAAAAAACCAAGAGAGACAGAGGGATGGAGGGAGAGGGGGAGATAGAGAGGAAGAGTAGAGGGAGAGAGAGAGAGGGAGGGAAATGGGAGGGTGAGGGAGGGAGAGGGAGAGAGAAAAAAAAAGTACAGTGTGGAAGAAATAATGGCTCCAAAACAAGACTGCAAAAAAAATATTTCCCAAATGAAATCTAGCTTATCAGGCTTGGAAAGTAATTTATTTCCTATTTTGGTCTTCAATTTACCATTATTATCATGTACTATTCTCATGGAAAGTTGGAATTTAATCAACAAGAAGAAAAATTTTGTATTTAAGCCCTTCCAATTTTGCAGGCTTTGATAGTATTCCTCAGTCCTGTTCTTCTCCAAGTAAAGATTTCTTATCTTTTCAGTTCCTAGGCACCTGGCAGCAAT